GTTTTATCAGAAGAAGAGTTCATTGATGATGATTTGTTGGCAGCAAATGATGCCAGACCTGATTTGAATTTGACATTCCAACATCCAAGTCAAAATATAAATTCATCAAATAAAAATAATTAATCAGTAGATAAGATAACTGAAAATATAGTAAAAGTAATTGATTAAGATAATATATTGAATCAAACGATCACCAACAAACCATCACTAACGAACCACAACCTACTACAACAGCCACGTGTCAAGTTGTAGATAGTCAATTAGCTTTTGACCTTGACTGGGCTGATGACAAAGAAGAAGAGCAACAGGTTAATACCCTTTCTGTCGTACTTCCACTTTCATTAAAATCAATAGGAGGTTGCGTGCGCGACTCTACTTCATCTAGAGCTCGACGACGCAGCACCATTAGGTCCAGTTTCGTTCCTTCACGTCGCAAATTAAGCGGGGGAGGGAAACGCCGTAACAATACGCGTTGGAAACAAGTATTGGATCAATGTCATTTTCATATTGGAATTAGACAAGCTAATTCTCATATGGATATATGCTGTCAAACACCTGAGTGATGACGTAGTGCAAGGTATGGATTTCTGTTGTGAAGCTAAGAAAGTTATGAATTTTTCTAACGACACATGGTCACCAGGGAATAATATGGTAGCTCCATTTGCTGAAAAACATTGTCATCTTAGTGAAATAATCCAAATATATTCATCTCATGATAAAGAAGCCATCTCCCAACTGCGAATTTTGTTAGTCGAGTGCAGTACTCCTTCTTCAGAACCTGTATCGTTAAACTACATTGCTAAAATTAAATCTGATAAAGTAAAAATTGTCAAACTTGATGTCAGTGGTAATAATAGAAGTCTTTCTAAACTTGATCCTCACCAAGTTGCATCTGAAATCTATAAACAAATTGGAGATACTAAGACTCGTGTAGTTAAAGGGTTATGTAAACTAGTTGAACATAAAATACATATAAAACCAGATGTCGAACCTTATCGCCAGAAACCTTTTAAGCGTAGTGAAGTCATGATCAAAGTTCGCTGTGATAGTACATGGAGCAGTGAACCACTGTTAGACAAAAAGAAAGATGGTAGTTGGAGATTATGTATAGATTATAGAGGGCTAAATGCTAGAACCTACAAGTCTGGTTATCCATTGCCAAATATGCTTCGCGTTCTTCAGAAGTTAGGCAGACCAGCTTAGATTTCTTCTTTAGCCATTAGTAGAGCGTTTCATCACATCGAAATCGAACAAGCTAGTCAAAACTACACAGCTTTCCATGTTGAAGGCCGTGGGCAATATAAGTGGATACGCATGCCTTTTGGGTTAACTGGAGCACCCTCCACATACTCCAGACTAGCAGATGTCACCCGAGAATTAGTCCAACAAAAACGAACAAAAATGAATATTGGCTTATCTGTCGAAGATCACATATTTGTGTATTTAGATGACTGGGTCGTAGTAAGTCAAACTTTAGAAAATCAAGCTATTTTACTTAAGACATTAATATCAGTTCTTAAAGAGTAAGGTTTTGAGTTAAATGTCGATAAATGTAAGTTATGTCAAAATCAAATAGAATATCTAGGATATAACACTGATAAAGATGGAGTGCATATTAACCGTAAAATGATCCAACCTATCCTCGATTATCCTGTTCCTACCAATAAGAAACAATTTCGTCGATGTCTTGGTATGGTCAACTGGTACCATAGATACCTAAAAATGGCCGCGGACATCTAAGGTCCTTTAAACAAATTATGTAGTCCGAAAATTTTGTGGATATGGTCAGCTGAGGCTCAAGAATCCTTTGAAAAATTGAAACAGGCATTAACAGATGCACCCACACTCTTTCCTGCAGATCCTAAGTTACTGTTTAGATTATACACAGATGCTAGTGATACTGGTATCGGAGCTGTTTTAGTTCACTATGATAAAGAAAAAGACATTGAGTATTTAATTACTTGTATCTTCAGACTTTTCCTACCAGCAGAAAGAAATTATCATACATCCGAAAAAGAGTGTTTAGCAGTCATTTGGTCGGTCAGTAAACTTGGACACTTCCTTGAAGGAGTTCCATTTTCTGTATTTACTGATCATTCCGCCTTAACATCGTTGATGACAGCTACTAGTCTTAAAGATAAATTAGCTAGATGGGCGTTATTAATGTCTATGTTTGATATTACCCTCGCTCATTATAGAGGCACAGTAAATGAAGCACCAGATGCTTTATTTAGAGCTCTTGAAGATCTCGATGAGTCAGCTAATCATAAAACACCTCCTCGTATAGCCTACCAGGATATTCCTGATTTCTTTTATGCATTATCTATGAAATCAGACGACAAAAAGTCAAATAGCGATAGTCAGAATGAGATTCAAGAAAAATCTAGGATCCCATATAATTTTTGGTACGAAAATCGATACAAACAAGTCAATAAATTTCCTAAGAAATACCCATCGGCGAAAATAGTCGATAAAGAATTGTTCTTTTACGTTAGTGATCTTATATCACCGATTGAGGAAAATTACTGGAAAAAAGTACCTCCAGATATGCCACAAAAACAGATATGCCATAGTCATCTTGGATATCTACACAAAGTTCATCCGTATAGGTGGAGTCAGAAATAATACTGCGAAAGAAGTTGATAAGTTTATTCGTTCTGTAATTTTTCAATTTAGTATTCCTGACCGAATAATTACTGACATTTCTAGAAGACTTAGATCATAGAGAATGGGATAAGAATCCATTAGAATTAGTATACGCATACAATACATCCGTACATTCAGAAACAGGATTTACACCATACTTCCTGATGTTTAGGAGAAGCCTTAAAAACCCCCTCGAGTCAGTAAAGGTAGATAATACACAAATTATTCCAAGTACAAGCTTAATTATTCGAAGAAACGAGAGACTAAACGAGTTATGTCAGTTGGTTGAGAGAAGTACAATTGAACCATATATTCAACCTGTACTTATGCGTAAATTATCGATAGGTGACGGAGTCTATTATCCTAACAAAAGACTAAGCAAAGCAGTCAAAAGTTATTCTGCGAAATTAGCTAAGAAATACGTAGAGCCGGCTAACATAAAATCTTTTCCTCGGCCACAATTAGCTCTTCTCCATAATGCAAAGGGGAAAAGAGTGGGTTTATATCACGTCAATTCCCTCAAGTATCGTACTTGATTGGACTAGGTTCATTTTTTATTTTTCAGGCCCGATATACCATCTACGTCGAGACAGAAAGGTAAGATTGCTCGTATGCTCCGAGAACTACAACGTCAACATGATTTTAAAACATTAAACACTACACCTCATGAGTCACAACAGTCAGACGGAGAAGAAGATCTAACACCATTAGCAATAAATTATCCAATATCTAGATCTAGAAAGTCCAGACGTATCCAACTGAAGGAGCTTTCTATATGTTTAGTCAGGTGCAATGAAAGGCGAACTACAACACGCTTGAGACTCCCAGCGTCTGAAACAGAGTCTCCAATGCCAACGTTACGGGCGGCACCATTACCTAGAATACCTAGAGTACCCGTACGGGTACCTACCCCGTCACCACCACCTGCATATCTATCCTGACAAATATCTGAAGGCGATTATTCTCTCAGTAGTCGACGAAACTCAGACGCAGACATAAGTCGCGAGTTTTACTCTATACCACTCGACGCACGTTTACGTCCTTACGTTGATTCTCAAGTTGCATTGTTACTTAAATTTATTAGAAAAAGACTTTAATGTTTATTATGGAAAAACACGGTTTGTTTTTTACACGTCCACAGGCACGAGGTACCGGGCAGCATTACCTATACCAGATATACCGTCTGAGTATAATCTCGTGTACTATAATGCTGCTGAGCACGATAAACATCCTATCCATTACCACGATATACCTCGACCGAATCAGTCACCATACTTCCAGGGTAAGTACGTCTGTGGCGAACTTACAGCAGCAGATGCAGCCGTTCTTGATCAACTCGGCTATATCAGCCTACCAAATACCACCGAGAACTGAAAAACTAGCCAGCAGACCCGGCACCAGGAGAGATTCGCGGAGTGGCAATATTACTTATTAGTAACGCAAATCGACGTTCGGAAGAATTTAGATAAAGTCAAATTTAAAGAAGCTATCAGGCCAACACTTATGACACTCCAAGGGTTAGACTCCCAGAGATACACAATTTGTGTTAATTATGATTCGTCTAATCACCCGTTACATCTGTGTCCCAAAGTCTTGAGGAGAGACATTTGTTGGGGTTGCGGTCAGATAGATATAGAGACTCAAGAGTGTTATAAGAAACATAGACATCCCCGTCCAGGTTGGCCAGACTACCAGAATAAGAATCATCTCGAACCGAGAAATAGACCTAAAGAAATTAATGTATATTCTAAGATAACTATCAAACAAGAACCATGACGTCCAACTGATGTACAATCGTTAATATTAGTCGTAAGGTGACAGACATTGTAAGTCAGAATGAATGGATGTTAACATATAAGTATGTGTGCTAATATTTTTATTGTAAGTGTTCTTGAATGCAGAATTTTTACTAAATGTCAACGATAGTAGATAGACTCTCTATACAAATTGTTCAAGCTGTAAGGCAGCATATAAGTTTATGTGTTCATTAAAAAGAAGCCACGAGGAGCACAGAAAGTCCCTGTTCGAGCGCTTTTGATATATGTGGGGAGAGGAAATCCTTATTATTAATGAGGGCGATCTCCCTCCCTACATATATCGAAGAAATTTTTCAATCAAAGTTACTACCATGAATATTATAGACTTAATATTGAACATGGGTTAATATTTGCATTACTTTGAAAAAAATGTGTCAAGCTTGAAACTTATTGACATTTAAAATTTTCGTATTGGAATTAATTATTTAACTATACTTCAAGTCTGCTAGTCAATGTCCATGGTGAGTTCCAAGACCCAAGAGGAATACCTCTAAATTTGAATATATCAAGTTCCATGAATAGGCGATCATAAACTTATTGAATTATGCTACACTTCTTTATTCTTTAATAGCAGCTCTTTACATATTATTTTATGATGAGTCAGTATCAATTGTTTGAAACTCGATATTTTGTGATTTTGAATAAAACTACTTCTGAAAACTTCAATATTATCACAATTTCTTCGAGCGGCAATTCATGGACTGCATGACCACCAATTTCCGTCAGTGCATCTCCTATTTGAAGTTTTCCAGATTCTATAGTCTCATTACTAGTCACCTAGAAAAAGAAAAAATTTTTTGCATTTAATCATACATATTTTTACGGTTGATGTAAAACTTGGAACAACTAATATAATCGGCTACATTTATTGAAGAATAAGATAATTTAGTTGTATGAGATAAGCTTTCTGTCGTACCAAATCCGATATAAATGCTCCTTTGTTATTAGAAAATTCTTTCAGAATTATGCCCAATGGCTTCATGTTTCGTCGAGGTATTTCAATATCTGTTGTCTCAACAACTGAAGAATCTCTCAGAATATTAATTTTGAGCTGAAATAAAGAAAAAAGGCAATTGAATGAATTTAATATCAATAATTAAGGCAAATAATGTTCATTTACGAATATAGAGTTACAGGTGTGATGATGGCAATTGCAATAGCAATTTTAATTACAAAAGCATTTTGATAATCTGATCATCTTATAATAAAATAAACTCATATTGGACAGTTGGTTCTAAAAGACAGTATCTCACATAGTCTACGAAGTCCTTCTGATTAACCATAATTGAATTTGATTCTATAGCCGTGCCAATATTTTTTTGTATACTTTTAACAAGAGAAGAAATTCTGAACAAGATTTGTGCAAACCAATGTTTATTGCAATTTTAATCAAGTATTCGATCTATAATTTTACACGCACACCTATTAGATTTTTTATTGAACTCTTTGTTCGGACTTGGAGGGCCCCAAGTCAGCAAGTCTTAGAATATTCGAAAATTTTTAATGCCGGACTTGTCCACCAGCGCGTCAGTCAACTCACTGGACCAATCATCGGGCAGTATTTCCCTCATGGCCCAGAAGGCAACTCTACGGCCCTAGTGACGCCAACAAGCACGCGGTCGAGCACTTGTAGCGTCAGTTAGCTCCAGGCAAATCGCGCGGTCATCTCTGTACAACTTTTCGCAGTCAAATCGCAGATTTTTTCAGTCAGCTCACCCGTTGTAGTTAAATTTACGGTCAAACAGACTCAGACAGACAACTCTAGTGAACATAATTGAAGCTTCATCATCAATCTCATCAGTGCCAGTGGTCCAGTACAGTCAGTTGTAGTGTCTTTGGGCGCGAAGCTGAATATGGCGTCGACGCCAGAGTGCCTCACGGACATTCACATATACATCGCACACCCGAACAACTCTGGTGTATACCGTGAACGTTGCTCTTCACTGTTTTGAGACGTTTTTTGGTGAAACATTGACCAGCAGACAATTCACAAGTGAAGAAATAGTTGAATTATGGACAACTCAATGAACCTTAGTGATTAGTGCTTTCCATTGTACTAGTAATTGTTAATTGTTAATAAAAGTGAAAAAACCATACAATTTTAGTGTTAATGAACTCTTTTTAAGAAACCTTCTAGCATCCAACCTTTTTCTTTATTCTGCTCTCATTCATTACAGTCCACTAGTTTTTAGTTTGCTCGTCCGGCCGACTCGAAGTCAGAATATTTGGTCCTTCGAACCGGATGAGAACGGCTTGGATGCACATTGAACAATTCTAGAAGGTTCTAGTGCTTAATAATGTTGTGAATATTCTTTGAAATGCTCTGTATGAAGTGCTTGGAATTCAGTTAGACTCAAGTAACTTTTAGTGTTAGTGGGTAAACAACCTTACAGACAAAACGTGTTTACGCATTCCAGTGCCCAGTGATACTCATCTTTATTGTTGTGACATAGTGGTGCTCAGTCTGGCCAACTTGGACTCCTCTTCAGACGCTTGGCGCGCATTGTGGTCAGAGTCAAGATAGCCTTGACGCAGTCAACTCACGTGTATATAAACATAGTTCGTTAATTAGTGTAGTGTCCTTAGTGTAAGTTTAGTCACCTAAAATTATTATTCAGAGCTCGTAGACTCAGTTAATTAATTTGTGTGATTCTTTTGGTGTTGAGACTGTATTGAAAGCGCACCATTAGTATCAAGGTGACAGTAGACAACTCTAGCAACAGTTTTGTGCAGCTTCTTAGTGATAAGTGTAGTTTTAGTGACATTAGACAACTCACTCAACTGAACTATGGCAGACAAACGTTTAATTTCTCCTGCAAAATCGGACTACGTAGATGTAGCCGAAGACAATGAGTCAGTTGAAGGGACTAGTGAGATGTTAGAGCAAGTGAGTGTAAGCCAAGCGCCATCACCAGTTCCAGTCGACTCTCAGGCAGAAGGTATCAGGGAAACAACACTCAAAGTGCCCGAAAAGGCCACCACATCGCGTGACAGGTCAAAGTCACCGACAGCAATCGCCAACACAACACAATTCAAGTTGACGTCTCGGATGGCAAGGTACCAACAGCTTCAGTTCATGTATCAGGATGTGCTTGAGCTAGTAAGACAGCCTGCGCTCATGACAATGAGAGTAATTGAAGGTAAGCTCGCACAACTCAATGAGCTGTGGACCTACTTTGTGGTAGAGCACGAGGCATTAGGTTTGGGTGCCGGCTAACACTCTTCAAGCACCCATACATGACTGATCGAGTCTATGAAAGTGCGTTGCGACTTCACTATCACACCGAGTCAACGCTTCACCGTGTCAAATCTGAATTGCACGAAAAGGACATTCAGAAGTCACTAGACGAGTACAGATGGTCAATTCAGCAGGCAACTCAAGTCATTTTGCAGCAGGCAACTCTCCCGGAAATAACCCTTCCGACGTTCTCAGGTGACTCCTCAGAATGGACCCAGTTTCGTGATATGTTCACGTCTCTGGTACATGATCGTCAAGATCTACGACCAGTTTCCAAGCTCCATTACCTGAAGGCCAACCTGTCAGGCCCACCATCGCAACTTATTAGGCATGCCATCATGAATGATGATGGTTATGAGCCAGCTTTGAAGCAACTGAAAGAAAGGTATGATAACCCTGAACTGCTCATATTCTCTCACATAAAACATCTGTTTAGCATTCCAACACCAGCATCTAAGTCAGCTGAACAGTTAGACAACTTAGTAGGCATTGTAAAGCAGAACTTGGATGCACTCAGGGCACTCAATGTTCCAGTCAACTCAGCCGACTACTTTTTGATCTATTTGGTGACTAGTAAACTCGAGCAACATCTCCGAGAGTCCTAGGAGTTAGAACGGAGCAGATCACGGTCTCCAACTACACTCAACAGTCTACTCAACTTCATCTAAACCAGGGCACGTGCGATGGAGTCACCTCAAGATGCAGCTCGTCAGGCAAAACGATGGCCTACTCCAGTGATTACGAAGAAGTCCAGATCACAACACCAGTCCAATCGCCAGCAGACAACTCAATCGCAGACGACTCGAGCCTCCAGGCATGGGGCTCAAAAAAGATAGGCTGATTACCCATGTGACCAGTGCAACAGTCGAGATCATTACCTAGTAGACTGCCAATCATTTGCAGCTCTCTCTCAACTGGAGCGATACAACCTGGTCCTCTCAGCACGGTTGTGCTTCAATTGTTTAGGCTACCACTCGATCCAGGTGTGCCAGTCTGACAAGCGGTGCAGTGTGTGCAATCAAAAGCACCACACAATGACTCACACTCCCCGAACAGCATCCTTACGGAAGAGAGGATATGGCCCAGGCCAAGAACCGCAGCCAACTCAACCAGTTCAAGAGCCATCAACCTCCCAGCAGTGAGGTGATGACGTGCCATTTCCACAGCCGACTCCAGATCACACTCATTTATCTACGCAGACTTCTCACCAGGTAACTCATCATCACAGTCAACTCTCTGCGAGAACTCATCACGCAGCAAAGGTCAGCTCATACCAGCAAGTATCCGATCTCTTGACAAAATTCTGGGTTCAAGAAGAAGTTCCAGATACTTCAGCCAGCCAGATCATCCCAGATAATCAATCTTGTGAAGATCATCATGTTACGACTCATTCAAGAGATCAAGATGGGAGATATATTGTAAGAATACTGCTAAAAGCATCACCATCTCTTCTAGGCAACTCATCAGCGAGAGCTCATCAGTGTTTACGACACATGATCAGACGACTCACAAAAAATGACTCATATGCACATCTCTATCACAACTTGATGCAAGAATATGAGTCACTGAACCACATGAAACGAGTCGAGACAAGTCCAGTCAACTCTCAAGTGTATTATTTGCCTCATCATGGTGTCTTAAGAGAAGACAGTGTTACTACAAAACTCCGTGTAGCATTTAATGGCTCTAGTCCATCTTCTAGTGGTCTATCAGTGAACGATATTCAACATACTGGTGCCAAAGTCCAGAAAGACATTGCAGACGTACTCATTTGGATCAGACAGCATAAATTTGTGTTTACATCAGACATCACAAAGATGTACGGGCAAATCAAAGTCCATCAAGATGATTGGGATTTCCAGAGAATCCTGTGGGTGGACGAGCACTCCAAGATAATCCCATATCAACTCACAACAGTCACATATGGTACCAGATCAGCTCCCTTTCTGGCTGTTCGCACAATGATCCAGCTAGTAAAGGATGAGGGTCAAAAATTCCCTCTAGCTGTTGATCCATTATTAAAAGGAAAATATGTGGACGATATTTTTGGAGGTGCTGACACAGTGAGTCAACTGATAGACATTTCAACTCAAGTCAGACAACTCTGCATCGCAGGTGGCTTCCCGTTGGCGAAATGGCACAGCAACTCAATCCAATTCCTTCAGTCAATCACAGACAACTCATCAGAAGAGCAGATCCACTCATTTGAGAGCTGTAAAACAAAATTACTTGGGCTCTCGTGGATTCCAGCGAACGACTCATTTAAGTTCAACTCAAAACCTCCCCGTGAGAAGTCCAAGCTCACGAAGAGAATAATTTTATCAGAAACAGCACAACTCTACGATCCACTTGGATTTCTAGCACCTTTCATTGTCAGAGCAAAGATGTTGCTACAAGAAATCTGGCTAGATAAACTGTCATGGGATGACCAAGCCCCAGATCACATTATCACCAAGTGGACCAGCTTCAGATCAGAACTCTCACACGTTTTAGACCTCTCAATTCCACGATGGTTAAAGATTACTCAGAAATCTACCGTGGAGCTTCATGGCTTTTCAGACGCCTCACAACTAGCTATGGCAGCAGTTGTTTATATACGGGTTACTCATCCAGATCATGGAACTTGTTCAACTATAGTCTGCTCAAAGTCTAAGGTTGCTTCATTGAAGAAGATGTCTATTCCTAGATAGTCCAGTCATATTAGATTTTAAATCGTGAAATCTTGAAATGGACAAAATTTTAATAGACTATTTGTAGGGGATGTAGAATTAGTTTCCCCTAAAAAAAAGTGAGCTCCGACACCGGGCAAGGGT